TGAGGTTTTTCACAAGACATTCAAACATACAATCGTCAATTTTGGAGATGGAATTAGCTAAGCAAAACTCACTCAAGAATCTCATTGTAAGCATCAGCTATGCTCAAGTTCTTTCCATTCACTTCAGTCACACCCAAGGTGTGCGCTATATACGAAGCAGTATCGCCGATCTTTCTACAGTAATTGGCTTTTATCATAGAAAATCCAAAAGGCCTCAGCAACTCACTTGAAGGCTTCAGCGACCAACTCGTCCTTTCGCTGATCCACTAATTTCCCATATTCATCATAGATGGGGCAGTCTGGTGTGATACGAACAGGAGTACACTGAGTCTGTCGCATCATCGTCACAATGGGGTTCCCATCTGAAGCAAGTAATTCAAACTTCCACTAAACGTAACTGGTAAACGAATGACTTACTAATTCCTGTGACAACCATCGCTCCAAGATCGGCGACCACACTCGAATCCTTCTGATGGTAAGTGTGAACGCGACCGCCAAGTCTTTTCTATAAATAGAAAATTCGAGATGAAATATACGACAAAATCCATAAAGAGTTTAACTCACTCTTGCTTCCAACATCACCACATCAAAGCCGAAGAAATGTAACTGTTTCATAGCAGCAATGCCAGCAGCACCAGCACCGATGATCACAACGCGCTTTCTTTTCGAGGTCAGCACAAGAGCTGCTGAAAAGGAGAAAGTCTGATAGGAAAGGGTGAAAAAAGAAAAGTCCAGAACTGATACTTACAAGCTAATCGGTGGAAGTTACCATAATTGATGAAACCATATCTCTGGAGAAAGCCATGAATTCGACGGACAAAACGACGATCACCTATAATGTCAGAACTCTTCTCTCTACATTCAGCGTGACAAGTATGTGGGAGATTTTCCCGAAGCAAAAGTATATTTTGCAAGAATGCGGTACAAAAGATCGAACGGCATCAACAAAAGCATAAGGTCCATAAAAAACCAATTTTCTCAACATTATTTGTTATATACATGAGGGGGTCGCTTATTTGGAGGATATGAGTGGTGAGCATCCGTAATTGATCTACTACGTCTCTTGTTATGTGAAGGAAACCTGGGTACTGCGCTGGCAGATGGGACGAAGCTAATCATTTTTTGAAAACATGTTTCCCTTTGCTTACCAATCAAATGGAAAAGTATATGAAAAAGGCGAACAAGAACATTCAAGGCAAGTAAGATAAAGAATATAAAAAGGTAAATAAAAACAAACGTTATGCCATGCAAATATTAGCCTTAGGCATCATATGGGAAAGAAGAAAATATAGTGAACATACTGTTGAATGGGATTGGAAGTTGATCAATGGCATCTTCACTGGTCAGCTCCACATTAGGTTCAAGAAGCCATAATTGCAGCTAAAATATGTTATCTTGATGTTTAGCAATTTCTAATTGAGTCACTGACTATTTTGTTCCTGATAAATAGGTACAAATTTGTGGATGCTTTCGAATCTGATGCATCAGGAAAATGAACCAATTCTTGAGCGGTCAGCTTGTCGTATGGTAAACGACTATTAGATGCCGCTGATCGTAACGCTAAAATATACATTCTCCATTTGAAAGTATAAATTGTAATTAAACTAACAGATATCATCGTCCTCCCAGCGCAATGTGTCCAGTTCGCCATCTTCAAGCAACTGTTTTATGGATTCAGAATCTAGCTCTGATGAATGATCACGTCGAGATCGCGTTTCTTCTGTATGTG